TTAACATCTTCAAGCCTGGACTGAACAATGCTTTTGTAGTTCAGTAGTATCGTCACAGTATACTTTAGGTAAAAACTCATCTCTTTAAGAGAGGCTCCTGTTTTCCCTTTGAATCATTCATTCATCTTTTCTCTCTGTTTGCTCCAACAATGACCACAGGGTGTTTATTGCTTATGTAGGAATATGGTCTTTTGTTCAATCTGCTGTTGTAATAATGACACGTTAGTCCACTCAAAACAAAATCAGCGAGAGTGTACTGTTTGCATTTTGAAATCAGAACTATTTATTGATGAATTGCAAAGATGTGAAAGAAGAAGATGGATTCTTTATAATACACAGTTTTTTTTTTATGATCATTGTGTATTTTGTGTATCTTTTCTAGATTAACAAGTTAAGTTATTTGAACATTTAACATTATTCACGATACTTTAACTGTGACTGTTAAAGTTTCTGAGTCCAAATGTAGTGTAGCTTGCAGGTGTTTCAGCAGCACACTCGTGTATCCAGAAGGTGGAGCTCTCCGCTGCATATTGTATGTTGGAGGTGGCACAATGGAGACAGCTGTGTGTCGGTATTGTAGATAAAACCATAGATTAAATCATATTGTGTGAGTGCATGTGGGATGGGAGGTTTGAAATTTTCTGCAATTCTTCTATATAAAGAAGCACATAGTGTGATAAAACGTAGGTGGGTATAAATTTCTTGAGAGCTGATGTTTTTCGTGAACTCTGATGAAAGCACTTTGTCTGTGAGCAGACATGTTGGGACAGGTCTGAGCTATGCCTGTCAGGAGCCGCTCCCCTGTTTCCCACCTCCCCTGGAGTTTTCTTCCCTGAGGTCACACATTTCTGCATAAGTGACTGCCACATGTTGGACATTGAAGAGCAACTTTTTAAAGAGTCTGTCTATGTATTATTGCAAGATAAACCTTTTATGTAACCATTTAAATTTGCTCTCTCTTTTTTTCAATGTTTTTACATCTTAAATACTATAAATGATCTTTTCATGAAATGTTTAATGCTCACATCGGCCCTTTAAACCAGATATTCAAATCCTGTTTGCTGTGACTTTTCTACAGTTTGGTTTTTGTCATCCTCATTTAAGTGCTAATACATTTATATAGAAACATTTTATTCACAGATCACCTCCTCCATTAGGTAATGATGATTACGCTGTGGCTTGGCCTTTTCTTCCTCCCCCCAAACACACGCATATGCTTGTCCACACTTGCATGCACAAAAGCCAACCCTAACCTAAACTCAGGTCTCACACAAACCATGAATCCTCTGGTTGTTATGTAACTATTTCCATCACAGCTTTCCTAATGTTGTTTTCTTTTTTTTTTATTTTAAAAAACAATCTAAAAATATTCAAAGAAGCACATTTTTCCAAGAGAGGCTCCATTGTTGCTCTTTAACTTGCATAACTTCTTGTTCTCTTTCATTTAACTGTTGCCTGAGGGGTTTTGGTCTGATCAAGCCCGACCCTGTTTCTTTACGATGTACAAGTATGTGTAAAAAGAAAACAAAGACACTACAAAAAGCATATTATCATAGGAAAGTATCAAGGATTTTATTTTACATGTGATGAACAAACAATAACAACATTCCAAACAAAAAGCAAAGTAACAAAAGTAGAAATAAAATTGTATTAGTTGCAAATACTGTGGGGAAAAAAAAGACTCCTGAGATATGTTGAACCTTTACTGGCCAAATATAATTCCAGTTTAAAATACTTCTGATTAATTCTAATACAGTTTTCTTGTACTAAAGTTCTTAGTCAGAATTGTCATTTATAACATCCAGATTCAAGTAACATTTTGCCGTTCATTGTTTTTGCAATGTGTGGAACTTATTTCCCAACAACTATAAACATGTGTCAGTTACAACCCCTGCAAATGTACATGCTGCAAAATATTGAACAAGTCTGAACGATGTCCAGTCATGGTGCGCAGTGGCTGGATGGAGTGATTGTCCCCCTAGACGTAGTCCCTGCCTGGCTGGCTGGCAGAGTGGGACGGTGGGTAGCGTGGAGATTTCCCTGAGCTCTTGCTGGGGCAGTTGCAGCAGAGGAAGCCCCCTCCTATAATAGTGAGACATGCAGCTCCCCATCCAACATACAGGGCACTTCCGAATTCAAATCTGTGAATGATTTACAGATTAGCCCACATTGATACTTGCATATCAATTTACCAACATTACCAGTCTTCAAGTCTAAACACAGACTGATCACGTTATTACGATCACTACATAAACATGGAGGACTATGCTTGAAAATTAAAGAAATAGTTTGACATTATGGGAAATGTGCTTATTTGCTTTTACTACTGTGACTTAGATGAGAAGATTGATACCACTCTGACGTCTGCACACTAAATATGGAAAACACCTTCAGTCATACCTGATCATTTACTTAACTCACCTTGAATTAGTGGGAGTGAATGGGTTGTAGAAGTCCTGTGCTATTCTGTGGCCATACCAAGATGTTCCCACCAGAGCAAGCAGACCTGGGAAACCAGTGAGCAGAGAAACTTGTTATAGGTATTGTTGCATTATAAGGGGTAAGAAAGAGAATCATCTGTCTTGTTTCATCTTAATAAAAGTAAAACCCAGCATATTCACTACAAGCCAAAGCCTGTTCAAGGACGAAAAACACCTGTGTGCATGTGTGTGTGTGTGTGTGTGTGTGTGCACTGAATGAACTCTAACCAGCGATAATGAAGATGACCCCTCCAGTCAGTGCCACTTTGTCCTTCTGCTCAGGTTGGTCTGCCATGCAGGTGGTGCACCTCATGCCCACCACCTCCACCAAGATGGAAATAAAGCTGAGCAAGATGGAGGACAACATCAGCCCCCGTGTGCCCTGTACAATCCCTGGAGACAAAGTTGATTTTTAGCAGGTTTTCATTCATTCATCTTTCCTCCTGTAGATTCAGCAGGACTTTCTCTCCTGGATCATCCCCACTCTTTCTTCCTTTATGTTTTCTAACTGCACAAATACATTAAAATTATAATGAATGAATTGCAAGCAGTGATCTCACTCCCCCGCGCTTCTGTCTAATAAGAAAGCTTCAATAAAACCTGAGCATAAAAATGTTTCTATGATATCCAATAGCATCATGCAAGCAGTCCTCGGTATATCGCCTAGTTAACTATAAGTATCTCTGTATTGAATCTCATTGTACATCCTCTTATTTTCAACAGGCACGAAACAGGCGGGAACACTGACAACATGAGTCACAACACCTGAGGTGTCCTCAATCACTGCAATGCAAGTCTTTGTGATCTGATGAAGCTGGTATCACCTGTGATCTTTCATAGTCAATAAGTTAAAATTCAGTTTACACACATACATTTACATTTGAAATTGATCGCCTTGCATAACTTCTATTCTTTTTGAATGGATTTGTTTTTGCTCTGCCAGCTGCTGGTATTTGGCTGACATGTCTCTGCATGCAAGAGGTCTTCAAGAAAAGGGTATTCTCTCACACAAGGTTTGAGTGGCCAGAGAGATTCACACAATGCAGTATACAACCAGACAATTTTTAAACTGGTCCAATTATTTCATGAGCAATTATGAAGTCACTACTGAAAAACTCCTAATATTGTTGGACTGTTCATGGTCCCATGACCCATTTTCTTCCCATACCCATAGAAACTGATGCTGGACACAGTATAATTTGTGGGCTCAGTATGCTCTGCACAATATGCTCAATAGCTGATATTTATAAAGGAATCTTATAAATGGTGCAATGAAAAAACATGATGTGTAAAACAATGTTACCTGGTAGCTGGAGAAGTGAATCATAGACTTTACACTGAATCTGACCCGTGCTCTGTGACACACAAGTCTTCCACAGGCCTTCATACATAGCCTGAGCTGTGATGATGTTGTCTCCTGCATAAGACGAAGCTTTCCACTCCACCATCACTGTGGATGCTATTGATCCAACAAAGCCCAGGAAGGCCAATGTGAAGCCAAGAAGCTGGATTCCTGCATTGGCCATTATTTAAATTCAGAGATTGTAAAAGATCCAACTGAAAAAAATGAAAAAGGAAAAATTCTCCTAGTTATGAAGGGACTGAAACAAAAACACAAAACTTTCTTAAAGTAGTTCCAGGTGGTTTGGGGTGGTGGATATGGTCCCAAACAGTGGTGTCTACCTGTGCATCTTCAGGGAATAACCTGCATTTGATGGAAGGGGGAGGGATCCAGGAATGCCATCACTTCTGACTGAGGTTATGAGGAGCAGGACGACACCTAGTGGAAGCAATGGCCTCCTGCAGGGACTAAAAAATGACTCCTGAACCTCCGACCAACGTTCATTGAAAATGCAAAGCTACACACAGTAAAACAACAGTTTTCACATCTATTATAAAATAATGAAAGATTGATACACTGTGGACTTGGAACAATTTACATGACAGGAATGTAAATCTTTTGAAAAGTCAAGCTCCCTCCTTAATGCCTCATTAGTCAGGTGTTACCATGTTATATTTATATTATGTGTAGATTATTTTTTATGTGACTGTGCTGTTATGACCAGATCTTTTTTGCAAAAGAGATGCATCTCAAAAGACACCCAGGTTAAGTAAATAAAATATGTGTGGTTATTAGTAGTGGCAGCAGAAGTTGTAGATGGACAGAGTGATCTACTTTTCCCATTAAAGCCCATTTTCTCTTGGATTTATTTGTTTTGTTTTGGTAAACAGTGACTCAATGCTAACAGACTTTTACTGAAACTAACATAAAAAAAGACTAAAACCCTCTGCTTTCTTCCACACGTTGTTTATAACAGTAGCAGATAAAAATCAGATACTCTGTGAGACTGCAGAGAATATAATCCTGTAATTCATTTGATTTACTGAATGACAGGATTGTCCACTTTTTTTGTGTTGTTGTTGTTTGCAGATGAAACTGTGACAGGAGCTGGCCACTGGCCAAAGGTTTTGTCTTGCCTAATTCAGACTTGTTGTCGTTTGCACTTTGTGTGAGCTGGCTCTTTTGGTCCCACAAGGAAACTTGATTCAATGCTGCGTGATCCCTGTAACACAGAGGTATGTTGAATTTCATTCATTTGAACAGTTGTTCCTTTAAATGAACATTACTCATTCTTCTTTCTGTGAATAAATACTAGGTTTTACAAAAGAAACAGGAGTGTACTGCATGCGTTTGTGTATTTATATAAAACCAACATCAGCTTCACTTCCCTGTTCATTCATACAAACTTTCTACATGTTTTGACAGCAGAAAATGAACAAAGAATTGGGCCTGACACTGTCCCTGGTGCTGCTTTTCTGTCACAAAGGCAACACAGAGTCACACACCTCTTGTCCGTACAAATGCCAGTGTTTCACTTCGGTCCAAGTACTGTGTGCAGACGAACGGATGATATCTTTGCCCAGAAACATGTCCAAGCAGGTGAAGGACTTTATTATAATGACATCAGCTGTGGCATACCTGCTCCCTCACACTTTAGAGGAGAGCCCCCAACTCACCAAGATTGTCTTCTTAAACAATGCACTGCGAAGTATTCACGCTCAGGCTTTTGATCATCTGACTGAGCTGCACGAGCTGGAGATTAGTGGGAACCCCTGGCTGGAACATTTGTTTCTGGGGACTTTTTCAAAGCAGAGAAACTTGACTAAACTGCTGCTCAACTTCAACAGGTTCAAGGCGATTCTTCCTGGCATGTTTGACTCCCTGAAACAACTAGAAACTTTGCAGATGAAGGGAAACATCATATCAGATCTGCCGACATTTCTTTTTCTGAATCTCCACAACCTTCGTGTCCTGGACTTGTCCCAGAATAAACTTGAAGGAGTGAAAAGAGAGACATTTTCTGGTCTGGCTAGGCTGGAGATCCTGAAAATTAACAACAACCTCATTAGCAATCTTACATCTGACACATTCCACAATATTTCTCAGCTGAGGGAGCTTCACCTGGAGTGGAATAAGATATCAGAGCTGGCTGAGGGCACCTTCTCTGCGTTAACTGAGCTGGAGGTGCTAAACCTCAGAGGAAACCATCTTACAGCCTTCAGCGATAAAGTGTTTGGATTCAATGCCTCAAATTTGAGGGAGCTGAACCTTAAAGGCAACAGGCTGACTGAGCTGTCCTCTCTGAGTGATTTGACATCTCTTTCCGACATCATCTTGTCGTCTAACCAGCTCTCTAAACTTCCTGAAGACATTTTTAGAAATATCACACTGCTGGAGAATCTGGATCTCTCTGAAAACCAGCTCACATTTCTGCCTGAAAGAATCTTCAGCAATCTATTTGGTATTAAAGCGATCCACCTCAACAGGAACAATCTGAGAAAGGTGGAGCCCAAACTGTTTGAAGACCAAACATTCATTCAGCAGCTCTACTTGTCTGACAACCAGCTGGAAACTCTTCCACTGGGCCTTTTAGACCCTTTCGCCATCCAGCACACAGTGAGGCTGCATGGAAACCCCTGGAGATGCGACTGCCACATGTGGTACCTTCATGACTGGGTGCTGAGAAACAGCCTCGACGTAGAGATGCTGGACAGGATGCTCTGCGAGAGCCCTAACTATTTGAGAAAACAAACAGTCGCCTCCATCGACAAGGACCAGCTGGTGTGTCAGGTGTCTAAAGACGAGATGCCGGATCTCAGCAGCTGTAGCCTCCAAACATCCAGTGATACCATGATCATCAAATGTAAAGTGGATAAATGTTCTCCACTGACTATGAAGGTGCAGTTTCAGGATCATGATGGAAACATTCAGGAGCATATTTTGAAAAATGAGCATTCTCAGTGTAGCAATGAGAACCCCAATCAGTAATTCTCCCTGTTTATTAGATTTTGTTCTATGTGCAAATATATCCTCATCAGACCAAGAGTCACATTATTATATGTTCTGACTGTCAGAGTCAGTACTGTAAACAAATCTCTAACTCAGCAGCTGATAACCAGTACACATAAAGGCTGGTGAATGATAAGAGGGGTGGATGAACCCTTTTCTGGTAAAGTTCAAAGTTCAATCCAGTACTTTTAAGATCCTGTCACTGCTAAAAGGAACCACGAGGAACATGTTAATCATCTGCTAACATGTGTTTAATGACTGTGGTGTGTTCGATCTCCAGTAGCCTCTGGTTCTCCTCTTTCTGTAGTTGCCTACACTAGCAGCGTTTGAGCGTCTTCAGTATGAATGTTTCAATATGTCCATTTACAGACTATGTATTTTGCAATTTGAACAAACTAGAACAACTGTTAGACATGTCAATAAAAATTGACATTTCAATTTAACACTTAAAAAAAAGGCTTCTTTTGTAGGTAAAATCATGATCTGCAAAAGAACCTGTTTATATAGTTGTCATACAAGTCTATTAGAGTAAAAGGTATAATATCTCCTCGTGAAATCTGGTGAAATAGAAGTATAAAGCAGCATAAAATTGAACTTAATTTTAGATTTTGAGTAAATTTACATAGTTACATGTCATCACAGCCATCCACTCTGTCATCTAGGGGTTTTAAAACACTGAGCAAGACCCACCAGTCCTCCTGTGATCACTCCACTGCCCCTGAATACAGAGAGGGATGATAAAGAGAGAGGGAGCGGCGTGGGGAGGAGGGAGGCCTGGAAACAACAAGGCACACAGATGGCTACACCTTGAATACAGCACCCTAACCCACACTTAATAAGGGTCAAAGGCCAGAAGGTCAATTGGGTCCTTGGTCCGAGTTGAATGACATCACAATTCACATGACAAAAAGAGGTGGCTGTCTTATTTCCAGAGTTTGGAGGGATATCGTTAAATTGGAGGTAATCCTCACTCGACCAAAACTATGGGGTAAACCAGACATTTAACATTCGGGTTGTTGTCAAATGAGCAACAAGAGGTATGGAAATCGTTTAATGCATATCTCTATTCAGTAGGGATGGTGGGCCTCAGCGAAAAGAAGAAACTAAATGAGAATGCCAATGTCGAAACAAACCACAAAATATTGATGAAATTAATTTGAAAAATGTTTGACTAATGTGAAAAGTTGGAAAAGATTTGGATAGTCTCATAGTCTTGCTTCATTCCATGTGAGAGTCTATTGAAAATATAGCATGGATGTAAATAAACAAAATACAACTGTAAATATTTTTGACACATTTCATCAAGAGAAGGTGAATAAAGTTCAAGAAAAATAATTCTACGTGCGCACGGTTTCATCCGTGTGAATTTTTTGGTGTGTACGCATGTTTCCTGCTTCGTGCGTACGGCACGTCTCGCTGTGAATTCGACGCAAGGCTTTGGTACATGAAGCCCCAGGTGTCCTCCTCTGTCAGCTGATCCACACCTGGTGCATCGGAGTCAGGTTCAGAGTAACTTCAGCGCTGAAGCTGGTCCACAGAGGAAGGACGCCGACCTTCAACCTGGAGGCGTGGGATCGAATCTGAGGTACTTCACACTGGTTGTATGTGTATGTGTATGTGTATGTGTAAAAATAAAAACCAAAACTAAAACCAACTAAAACAACAAAACCTAAAATCAAACAATGAAAACTTCAAACTTCAAAACTACAAACGCTGCGTTCACGGAATACGTACGTTCGCTTCGACTTCTCTGTGCGAATTTCTGCGATTTCCGCCGAGGACCAACGAGGAAGGAATACAACAGGTATGTCCAAGTGACCCCTGGTGTACAGTTAGCTTAACTAAGCAAGCTGGAAGGGCATTTTGGCTGCTTGTGTTTTCACTTGACATCATCTGAGTTTCTGATATGGAGGACGAAAAGGCATTGAAAAGTCATAATATGGTAAGGCATAAAAACGTCAAAAAGCGTCATGGTATGGCAAGGCATAAAAAAGTCACTTGGAGTTGCAAATTAACCCAAAGTGCTTGTCTTTGGACTATATTGGATGATATAATATAGCATGAGAACCATAGTTAGGCATAAAATATAACATCATCATCATCATATATCATAATATAATAAGTCATAAAAACGTCATAGTAATGCATAAAAACGTCATAATAATGTTATAATATAGTAAGTCACGAAAGTGTCAAAGTATAGTTAGGCTTAAAAACGTCATAAAAAGTAGTGTAGTATAAAAAGGTAAGAAAATGTTAAAAAAAAAAAAAAAGTCATAGTATAAGGCATGAAAATCATAAAAATGTCATGGTATAATATGGGATGAAATGTCAGAAAAACGCCATTGTATAGTAAGGCATAAGAATGTCAAAAACACCATAGTAAAGTAGGGAATAAAAGGTAATTAAAAACGTCATACTACAGTATAGCATAAGATATCAAAAAAAGTCATAGTATAGTAAGGCAAAAAAAGTCATGAAAACGTCATAGCATACTTAGGCATAACATTTTTTAAAGTCGTCATGGTATAGTAAGGCATAGAAAGTGAAAATGTCATAATATAGTAAGGCAAAGAAAGTCATAAAAACGTCATAGTATAGTGAGGCAAAAAAATTCATGAAAACGTCATTTTATACTAAGGCATGAAAATCCATGAAAATGTCATAGTGTAGTAAGGCATTAAAATGTCATATTATACTGAGGCATAAAATTGTCAAAAAATGTCATAGTATAGTTAGGCATAAAAATTCATGAAAACGTCATACTATAGTATGGCATAGAAATGTCATATTATAGTAAGGCATAAAAATTTAAAAAAAGACGTCATAGTATAGTAAGGTATAAAAATTTCAAAAACGTCATAGTATAGTAAGGCATAAAAATTCATAAAAACGTCATGGTATAGTAAGGCAAAAAAAGTCATTAAAACGTCATAGTATAGTAAGGCACAAAAACACATAGTATAATATGGCATAAAAATGTCAAAAAACGTCATAGTATAGGATGGCATAAAAATGTCAAAAACGTCATAGTATAGTATGGCATAAAAATGTTAAAAAACGTCATAGTATAGTAAGGCACAAAAATGTCAAAAAATGTCATATTATAGCAAAGCATAAAATTGTCAAAAAAACGTCATAGTATAGTAAGGCAAAAAAAGTCATTAAAACGTCATAGTATAGCAAGTCAGAAAAAGTCATAGTATAGTATGGCATAAAATTGTCAAAAAACATCATAGTATAGTATGGCATAAAATTGTCAAAAAACATCATAGTATTGTATGGCATAAAAATGTCAAAAAATGTCATATTATAGTAAGGCATAAAAATTTAAAAAAAGACGTCATAGTATAGTAAGGTATAAAAATGTCAAAAACGTCATAGTATAGTAAGGCATAAAAATTAATAAAAACGTCATGGTATAGTAAGGCAAAAAAAGTCATTAAAACGTCATAGTATAGTAAGGCACAAAAACACATAGTATAATATGGCATAAAAATGTCAAAAAACGTCATAGTATAGGATGGCATAAAAATGTTAAAAAACGTCATAGTATAGTAAGGCACAAAAATGTCAAAAAATGTCATATTATAGCAAGGCATAAAATTGTCAAAAAACATCATAGTATAGTATGGCATAAAATTGTCAAAAAACATCATAGTATTGTATGGCATAAAAATGTCAAAAAATGTCATATTATAGCAAGGCATAAAATTGTCAAAAAACGTCATAGTATAGGATGGCATAAAAATGTCAAAAACGTCATAGTATAGTATGGCATAAAAATGTCAAAAAACGTCATAGTATAGTAAGGCACAAAAATGTCAAAAAATGTCATATTATAGCAAGGCATAAAATTGTCAAAAAAACGTCATAGTATAGATGGCATAAAAATTGTCAAAACGTATAGTATAGTAAGGCAAAAAAAGTCATAGTATAGTATGGCATAAAAATGTCAAAAGACGTCATAGTATAGTAAGGCAAAAAAAGTCATAGTATAGTATGGCATAAAAATGTCAAAAAACGTCATAGTATAGTATGGTATAAAAAAGTCAAAAGAACCTCATCGTTTAGTGAGGCAAAAAAAATATCCAAAAACGTCATAGTATAGTATGGTATAAAATTGTCAAAAAAACGTCATATTATAGTAAGGCAAAAAAATGTGAAAAAACCGTCATGTTATAGCAAGGCATAAAAATGTCAAAAAAACATCATAGTATAGTAAGGAAAAAAAAGTCATAGTATAGTATGGCATAAAAATGTCAAAAAACGTCATAGTATGGTATGGCATAAAAATGTCAAAAAAAACGTCATAGTATAGTAAGGCAAAAAAAGTCATAGTATATTAAGGCACAAAAATGTCAAAAACCATCATATTATAGCTAGGCATAAAAATGTCAAAAAAACATCATAGTATAGTAAGGCAAAAAAAGTCATGGTTTAGTATGGGATAAAAATGTCAAAAAACATCATCGTGTAGTAGGGCAAAAAAAGTCATTAAAACGTCATAGTATAGTAAGGCAAAAGAAGTCAAAAAACGTCATAGTATAGTAAGGCATAAAAATGTCAAAAACCGTCATATTATAGCAAGGCCTAAAAATGTCAAAAAAACATCATAGTATAGTAAGGCAAAAAAAGTCATGGTTTAGTATGGGATAAAAATGTCAAAAAACGTCATAGTATAGTAGGGCAAAAAAAGTCATTAAAACATCATAGTATAGTAATGCAAAAAAAGTCATAGTATAGTATGGCATAAAAATGTCATTAAAACGTCATAGTATAGTAAGGCAAAAAAAGTCATAGTATAGTATGGCATAAAAATGTCAAAAACCGTCATATTATAGCAAGGCATAAAAATGTCAAAAAAACGTCATAGTATAGTAAGGCAAAAAAATTCATTAAAACGTCATAGTATAGTAAGGCAAAA